CTCACTCACTCACTGACTCATTCTCACTCACTGTCTCACTCATGACTGACTCACTCACTGCCTCACTCTCACTCTCTCACTCACTCACTGTCTCACTCTCACTCTCTCACTCAAAAAAAAACAAAACACTCATCATCTGAGTTGAGTCTCACAATGTCCTTATGAGCTAATATTAGTAGTAATTTAACAAAAGGGAACACCAGAGAATAAGTTAAAACAGCTACCCCAAGATAACCTTATGACAATTTGAGAAAAGAGCCCTAGAAGCTCCCAAGTTGAACACTCAAAGCTATTAACCAACAAGTTGGTGGTTCAGATTCACAGACTGATTCCAATGGTGAAAGACCTTGTAATCTGCTCCTGTAAAGGTTACGGCCTTGCAAATCCTAAAAGTGCACTTCTTCTCTTTAACACGGCGCCATTCTGAGTCAAAAATCAACTTAATGGCACCTAGCTACAACGATAACAATTTGAAAATTTCTGAATATTTGTGATGATGAAACTAGATGCACAGCTATTTCAAAGGAGAAAAGATAATCTGTTGTCTTGCAAAAGTTATAATTTGTGATCAAGTGGAATAAATTGTTACTATATTATAGCAAGTCATTTCATAAATTTATTTTAACTATATATTGATTAGAACCTAAGAACCATCAAAAAATAAGTTTCTGAGAAGGAAAAAAAATACCCCCTTCTATTTGGCTAAGTAAAAAATATAACCAAACTGGTAGATGATCAGATATATAAGTTTCTTAGATAAAAAAGATTGTTTTAGGTGTAGAATACACGCTGGAAAAACTGGACAAAGTGTATTATAAGAGCACTATTTTAAAAAAAAGCACTGAAAATTAAGGGTTGTCAAAAAGCTTCTATCTCAACATTAGAAATTACCTTTAATCTACTGACATAGAGAATTTACCTTCAACTTGATAACCACTCTTCATTGTGAAAAAGTAAAATGAAATGACTAAACCTCCAAATTCCATATTAAAAGTAATTAAAGTTTATGTTCAAAGAGAGTCAACTATTAAAGTTAAACTAACAGAGTCATGTCCAGCACTGAGTAAAATGTACAGGTTTTAATAGACTTTTAGGTAGATATTTAAAGACCTTCTAATAGCTTAGTTAGATCTGGGGCCCCAAAGTCCACGAATGGCTACTCTTCATTCGTGTCACCTGGCACTTCAGTGAATAGACAGAGCATACAGTAGACACCTAATTTTAATTATATTTCACAGAACAAATTGCCAGAAATCTGACTTCCAGGTTATCATTTTTGATAAACACATTACTATAATTATTTTATTTAAAACATACCATATCAGTAATTTAAATGCAACGACTAACCTTATATTCAGTATGCAAGAACCACTAGTAGCAGATAACTAGAATGTGAGGGGAATGATGAAGGTTAGAAAAAGATGAAGGTGGTATAGAGCATAGTTCTCTAGTTTCTAATGATGAATCACACATTAAAATGTAGAGAGAAGTTAATAATCAAAAGGTATATGTCAGAATTACACGCAGACTTCACTGGTGTTCATCCCGCATAACTTCTCTATTTCATCTTGTGTTACATTCTCACTTTTCTATAATCATTAGCTAAAATAGTAATATAAAACCCTTGTTAACACAAGCTGTTCTGCTCTACTCTTAGAAGTTTAAACTTGCGTTGTGTGTGTGTGTGTGTGTGTGTGTGTGTGTGTGTGTTGGGGAAAGAAGAGAAGACACGGAAGGCGCAAATAAATACAATTTAACCCATCATTTGGCATGCTTTTAAAAAAAGTAACACCAAGAAACCTCTATGGATCAAAGGCCTCAAGAAACTACTTTAGGAAACAGTGGTTTAGTTTTTCAAATTCTAGATAATCTACCATTTAAAAATGTTCTGAATCTTAAATGCTCTTAAAATACTAATTTAATGTAAAAAGGGCAATCTGTTAAATTTGAAGAACTGAGGAAAAAACTGCTTACAAAACCCAAAACCCTAGTTCCCTACTTTCCAAAGTAAATTTATTTCTCCTTTAAATAGACTATAAAAGGAAACCCTAACAGAGAAGCGACCTTAAAATGTAGAAACATGAAGAGTATGATCCACTAACTCTCAAACAGGAAATGCACAAAGAGAAGCCAGACTTTAAAGAGTATTTGAAATTTAAGTCAACTGATTTCTCTATCTTTCTGGGGTTTCTTTCTTTTCTCCCCACCACACACACAATCAGTAGTAAAGGAAAACAGAAGAAGGAGTTCGTTAAAAGTCTGCTGCTAAGCTCATCTTCTTCTTTCAACCACAGGAAAGTTCTGGTTTCTGGGAAATCCACTAAAAGCAGCTGATAAAGTAGAACTAACAAAGGAAAGAAGGGAGCTATGGGACTTGTTCTTGTGCTCTCCACAGTGAAATCTAAAAAATGTCTTATGTAGTTTTGTCCTATGCATGCTTACAGAGATTAAACTCCAGATTATTAAACAAAGTCTGTACAAATATCCCATTTAAGGAAAAAAATATATATATATAAAACAATTACTGACTTCTAGCCAATTTAACATTTAAATTGCTTAGTTAGAATGAAAGATCAAAATAATTTTCAAAGTATTACTAAGTATAGCATTCCCTATAATTTTATAATAAAATCGTAAATCCTTTCTTTAAATACAAATAACTATACATTGAAATAGTTTACCTACCTAAACTAAAAGAAATATTACCTGAAATAATTCTGAAAAGTCCTACCTTTTCTTTGCAGCTGGAAAGCATGCTAATAATGCTAAGACAAACTGATTGGACTGAGAGCGCTGGGGACCAGTCTTCTGTTAGAATGGATAAACAGATATGACCATTGCTATAAACATGAGGATGAACAGGAATATTTTCACCAGTAAACATGACCTAAGAAAGAATAAAATTCCATTAACACTCAATATTCTAGGTTCCTAAAAATGTAAAAATTTCCCACAGGTTTAAGTATTGATTTTTAAAAGCAAAAAACAAAACAGCACCAGGAACAAAGTAAACACCTGTTTTTTTTCTCATTAACTCAATAAATATTGATTATGGTGTCTGAATAACGATATACAAAAGAAAAAAAACCTACATTACTCCAGAATATTTTATTTCATATTTTAGCTTGTTCAGACAAATTCCCTTTAGAGTATTTTTTTTAATTACTATGTACTTTCATTCTAGAGACAGCTACATTTACAATAATGGTTCTTCAAAATCTACTTAGTGCTGTGTGCATATAGAAATAAAACACACTAAAATTCCAAAAAAGTAATCAATTTTGAGATAATATGAATTACACTTGGTAGGAATAAACCTACCACCTTAAACAATGATACCACTTAAGGTTCCACTATGCAAAAGGACATAAGTGTTATATACAGTGAACCCTCGTTTATCGCGGTTAATCGATTCTAGACCCTACCGTGATA